AACTGAACGTCAGCTATTTCAGTCATCATGACCTGAAGTCGACTTACATCTTACAAGGATACCAACAAGATCAACTATTGGCGAATTACCCACAGGTATGATTCGGATAGCGTTCGCGGGATGCAACGCCCGAGTCAAGAAAGGGCAGTAGTTGGTGACTGGACCGTGGGCGCTCCTCCAGGGAGAAAGTGTAATGAACCGGTGAGCAGGTCATACGATGATCGGCTGGCAGGATTATGTTTATAACCCAAACGAGTTCCTTGCGTCGGCAAAGACTGTTATACTGGATAAGAGAATGATGCAGGGCGAACGTGGCTCCAAAGATTGGCTTCGAGTGTGAGTGTTGATCAGGAATTTGTTTGTGACCTCTGTCCCCCATGAGAGCTATCTCGTTAGTGCCTCCGGACACCTGCATGCATGGACGCGGTACGGTGACTGTACAAGAACCTGGGCCTGCGCTTCCCAGAGAGCACTGGCCAAGCCCCGCGGAGAGAAGACAGGTGAAACATTGTACGGCCTAGGTCCTGTGAATACTTCTTCATGACAAGCGCCAGAGCCGAATGAAGACCCATGAAGTATGTGATGTGGCCCCCACCCCTTCCTCGATGGGGCTATCTCGTAGTCGTGAGGCTTTAGCAGATACCCAATCGGACAAACACTGATGACTTTTCCTGTTACAAAGAAGCCACGTTATCAGCTACGCTTGATCTTTCGCAAACAGTCGATGGATGTTTGTAACTGACATGGTGTTACCGCGGATCCGGGATGTGAGGCACGGATTTGACGATTTCAATCGACTTGCCCTAATCCAGGCCGAGTGCGCCAGGCTCGCATGGGTGTCAAAAGAGTTAGTGCGCTACACTTGCGAGGAGCGGGCTTTCTGTGGGGGATAACACGCTGTCGACCAGCGAAGGAAACTACTAAGGGCTCTCAAGTCTCGTAGTACTGCTTGTAGCATATATTGGCACATTTGATCCTGGTAAGGGTCTGTTGTCAGATCAACTAATCGCTTCGAGCATACATGGCTTGCGCTGAAACGTACCTGCAGATGATAGCCAGCCTCCTTGAAGACCCTCTGATTGGCTGACTGACGAGCCAATACCGCTTGTAGTACCTCAAATCACGTCATTTGCTAAGAATCTGTTCAACCTTACAAGTTTGGCTGCTGAGGATGGTCCAGGGAGTTGGCAGAGGATTGTACGATTGGCGATCCAACAGCCCTGCACTGAACATGTATGCTACCGCTGGCATCTATCCCACAGCCCCACGGCAAACGGATATACGTGGAAAGCTGGGGTAAGGTTCCGGTGGGTCCCATGCCTATTATGGATCGCGGTGAACGAAAAGAACTGGATCCGATGATGGGCCGGCTTCCAGATGGTACCACGTAGAGCCGATATGAAGATGATGCTACGTAGCGTATCTCAAAGTAACGTTCCGTGTTCACTATGAGTGACTTATCCGAGCGCGCTCGAAGCTTGAGTATGCCAGGGGGTGAAACAAACCTGCTCTGCACCTCGAGGGTCCTAGGATTAGTAGCGCTATGGCATATGGTGAGGACCGGAATTGCTCGATCTGTCGATGTAACAAGCCAATGTGCGCAGCACAGGCCAGCGCCAAGCTGCAAGCAAACTTCGATGCGCATCCCATGTAAATGACCCATCATCGTAAGGCGATCTTTCTGGGCTCAAAGCTTCATACCCCAGTTCAATGCATCGATGTGCATTAGCTTGTGCATCAAGTCGCACAGTCATGTTGGGTCAGGCTATACCCGCATCCGGTCTGAAGCCCGTGGGGTTGGGATGACAGGCAGATTACAAGGCTCGTGGATCCATCGTTGCTGTGCATATCTGGAAGGTTAGGTTGCGAGTAGGCATTAGCGAATTGCTGAAGCTCCGTCTTCGCAGTGACAGTGTCACCACACCTGTAATTGTCAGGCATGCTGTGTCGCCTCCCTGGAGCAGAAGAGCTCCTGCAATCTCGAAGACAGCAGTGACAAAAGAGATTCCTCCACTTCCAGCGAGATAGTCCCGCAGTCCTCGAAAAAGGATGAACTGGAGGCTCTGGTCTGGGCTGGCTGTCAGGCTTCGGCTGTTAGCAAGTCGAAGCGAGAAGCAGAGGCCCGCTCCAGGATTTTGAAAGCCGGTGGTGGGAAGATATGCCCAATATACAAGACGATGCCCTTTGGTCCAATGCTCCTGGCGGACGGGGCCGGGGATTTCGGATCGATATGCAGCAGGCAATGCAGTGGCTGCCCGAATCTGTGTGCAGGGATTGCCGTCAGAAGCCGGGTAGCACTCAACGGTCCGCCTCTCAAAAGTACTCAGAGCTCTTTCTTGGTACTCGCACTATTTCCGGACAATGGCTTGACAAGCGCGGAAGCTTGCATCTCCCAGGTGCATCCTAAGTTCGATCTGTCAACGCCGGTAGTGTATGCATCAGGACGCTGCTCTTGCCTGTAGACAAGCGGGACCAAACGACGATCTGAAGCGCGGGCTGATGTGAAGGCTGCTGGGGCACGTTGCCCAGGGAGTATTGGCTCAGCAGCTTGCGAGACGTGAAGGTGGAGAAACGCGACATGTACCTGGAGCTAAGCCGCATTGGGCGTTACGTCATGATGACTAAGCGTCAGGGCTACGCGATCTCGGATGCTGTCGCGCGCGTTGACGAACACTTTGCGACAAACACTCGTTCTCGGCACAACATAGCCCAAACGATGTCTGTGCTGCTGGAAACGTCACTCGGAGATATCACCATCGACCTGTTGGTCGACGATGCGCCCAGATGCTGTGAAAAGTAAGTCGATCCAATCCCTACGCGCGCCTTGGGTTTTCGCACCTGCATGCTGCATGCTCCATCCCGCTGTCGCCCCAAGCTGAGCATAAACAGACACTGACAATTCGTCGCCTTAGCTTTCTCAAGCTGTGCAAAGTCAAGTACTACAACTTCGCCCCCGTTCATAGCGTCCAACCAAACTTCTCCTTCCAGACTGGCGACCCCATCGGCCCTGGCTCCAAAGACAGCGACGGCGGTCGCTCAATATGGGGCTTGCTCGACCCCGCACAGCCCGCAAAGAAGACGTTCGTACCCGAGTTCAAGCCTAAGCTCAAGCATGCCGAGATGGGAACCGTCAGCATGGCGACCGCGCCGAACCCCGAAGATCCAGACGAGCGGTTCGCTGGCAGTCAGTTCATCATAACGCTGGGACAGGACATCGACTACCTGGACGGCAAGGCGGCCATATTCGGAACAGTGGTAGAGGGTTTTGACACGCTGGAGAAGATAAACACGGCATATATCGATGACCAGGGCCAGCCACTCAAAGACATCCGCATACTACACACAGTCGTCCTCGACGACCCATACGACGACCCCGCCGGCCTCGTGGAGCCACCCGAGAGCCCTGTACCCTCCGCCGCGCAGCTCGCCACCGTCCGCGTCGCGTACGATGAGAACCTCGAGGAGGACAACGACCCGGAAGCCCTGGAAAAGGTACGCAGAGAACGTGAGGCGCGCGCACAAGCCCTCACGCTCGAGATGGTAGGTGATCTGCCATTCGCCGAAGTCGCACCGCCTGAGAACGTGCTGTTCGTGTGCAAGCTCAACCCAGTGACGCAAGACGAGGATCTGGAGCTTATCTTTTCGCGATTCGGCAAGATTCTCAGCTGCGAGGTCATCAGGGACAAGCGCACAGGTGACAGCCTGCAGTACGCCTTTATCGAGTACACCAATCAGAAGGACTGCGAGCAGGCCTATTTCAAGATGGATGGTGTTCTGATCGACGATCACCGCATACACGTCGACTTCTCCCAGTCCGTCTCCAAGATTGCCGACGATTGGCGGGACGTTACGAACAAGAAGCGGAGACGGGCTGCAGGTGGTTTCGGTGGTATCGACAACCTCGAGAAGAAGAAGCAGTATCGTGATGGCTCCGGACGCCAGATCATGTCGGATTCTGTTGTCAACAACTTGGTGGCCGATCGCGACGTTTCAAAAGATACCGCGCCACGGCCGAGGGATACCGGTAGAGATGAACGACGAGACGACACACGGAGGCGTGAACGGAGGACGGAATACCACGACGACCGCTTCAAGCGGAATCGTAGTCGGAGCCCCAAGCGCGACCGTCGCGATGGTGATGATGGAAGGTACAATCAGAGGAGAGAGCGAAGTCGTAGCCCAAATCGCCATCGTGACAGCCGTCGGGAGAGAAGTCGGGATCGCTATCGCCGGGATGATCGGGACCGCCGGCGATGAGGCCACCATTTTGTAGATCGAGGCGCCTTTGGTTTTTGGGATTAGGGCCAAGATTGTACCGTCAGTAATGCGTCATCTGGCTGGTCATTCTAAGTAGTTAATGCAAATCCTCATAAAATACCAACGCGAAACACGAATACGGTCGGAAGAAGTGCCAGTCCAAGTACGTCCGATTGCATCATTGTAGCAAGCAAGAAGGGTCAAGTGCGACAGTGTCACGTATAATGAGCATGTGAGCTTTAGAAATCAGACGTTCCAGCGCGCAGGGAGCAAACAGATGACAATCAAAGGTGCGTCTTGCATCATAAAATATCAGATATGTGACAAAATTTACTCTTCAATTTGTTCTAAAGGTGTTCCTCTCTTCTTTAGGAGATGACGGACTTAGATGTATATCAGCTAATGTCAGATAACAGAATCGAAAAAAACGGACTTTACGCGTTGGCTACCGTGAACTTCCAAGCATGCGTACCGTCGTGGTAGAGGATGCTGCTTATCGAGTGCCTGTTACTTTATGCCGGCTATTCACTCCGGAGTGCCATCGTGTAGATGTAGCACTCGTGAATGAGCCAGCCTCCGTTTTACATGGCGATGCGACAGTATTACGGTCTCTGTTCTTAATGTTCGCGATCTTTACCAGCCGATGAGGCTTTCGGTAGTATGCTCAATCGAAAAAGTTGGCTATCGTCGGTTTCCGGTAGTGAGGCGTGGTATATTGTTCGAGGTTTGGACTCACTATCTCTTCAACCCGAGACGACGGCAGTATCATGCTCTGCTTCCTCAGCACCATCCTCCTCCTCATCACCGTTCCCCTCCTTCTCAGCCTCATAAAAGTCGATGAGCTCATCACAGCACGACCACCAAGTAGTCTGCATCTCCAGCTCTTCATCCAGCGCCTCAAGAAGACCCTCAGGCGGCATCACCGGCTCGAAGATGCGGGCAAAATGCGTCTGGAGCAGGGCGCGCGCAGAGTCCCAACCACCCCGACCCATCCCCCTAACGAACTGCCAGTAATCCACACGACAATGAGGTATCTCGCGGAGTAACTTGTCTATGAGACTATCTGCGTCCCCACCTTGAGTTACTGCGGCGACAGCGGCTTGGTAGAGACCCGATTTCAGCGTGAACTCTGCGGTTTCAGCATCGCTAGCTTCAGCTATGGCGGCGGCGTAAATTTCGCGGTAGTGTTCGTAGTTCCATGCCATGCACGGCGGGATTTCGAGACCAAGCGCGTAAGGTGGGAACCAGTCGTTGCGGAGAAACATGGGAACAGCTGTTGCGCCGATACAGCGTGGTGCTGCGATTGCATTATCCCAGTCGATGATTCCGGTTACGTTGCCCTCCTCGTCGCAAAGGATGTTTTGCAGGTCGAGATCGTGGTGGTGGAGGGTAAAAGTCTCGCCAGATTGCCCGCGGAACGCCGGCTGACGGAAGATGATGCCGAGAATGGCTTGGACACCACTGGCTTCACGCCCATCGTCTTCGTCCCAATCATCGTTTTTCAGTATATCTTCAAGAATCTTATCATTCATCTGTTTCATCTTGGCTTTCACGCGAGCGCGAATATATTCCTCGGTTGTAGCAGCCGGTGGACGTTTAAAAGATTCATCACCATCTTTGTATGTCCAGTGGCACGTGGGTCCAACACCGATGAGATTGCCGTCGTCGTCGAACGTCGGTGCTCCAATGGCCTCAAATTTGAGAGTCTGAATCTGAATCATTACTCGTGCCAAAGAGCGTAGGAACTTGAGACGCTTCTTTTCGATATGGGGAGGCGGGACATCCGCATGTTGGAAGAGATCGGACTCGACGCATGGATAATCTTCTGGGAACCAGATGTTGTTAGCTTGCGTACCGGGTAGCATCGTCATCAAGATGTACGGGAAACCGAGCGCGTTGTCGTGACCCGTGGAGTAGTGAATGACCTGTGCGACAGGTGCCGTTGTGTTCTTGCGGATGTACTCAATTAGCTGAGCTTCGTTCTTCAACACGTAGGAGTCTGCTTCCGTCCAGTGTGCAAATGTACCATGGCCAGGGACGCGGACAACGTACTTGCGAGTTTGCTCGCCTTCACAAACAGTGACAAAAGTCGCTGCGTTGAACGTGCCCTTCGCGCGGCGCACTACTTCGACGGTAGTGGTGGGCGAGGAGGAAAGATCACAGGCCTTGATCAGTTCGCGGTACTTTGCATCGGGAATTGCCTCAATCGTCTTGAAGTCGCAACGCGGGCCGTCACCTTCATCTGAAACGTCTTTGTTGGTGTTCGCGCTTTCGCCACGCTTGCCCTTCTCCGCATCAGAAAGTGTACCCGAGCCAACTGCGGAGTCATTGCGGCCTGGCTTGTCTGGATTGAGCTTCGAGAATCGGAGATCCATGAAGCGTGAGAAGTCAAGTTTCTTACAAGCAGCCTTCACATAGCGGCGCAGACGATGTGTCTTTTCCTTTTTCACAGCAGGCTGCTCTGGCAGCGCGGAGATCTCCCCTTCGGCTTGATCTACAGATTTAGTGGGAAGCTCGTAGGCGTTGGGTTCCAACAAGCGTACGGAAAGGCCGTCTTGTGCCTGGGTCGGTGGATGCTTTAGGTTCGAATGCGATTCGAGGGAAGGAGAGATACCTGGTACGAAGAATGTGTCACCACAGTCAAGACGCGGGAGAGAATGGTCGGTTGGAGCCGTCGACGTTAAAGACGATCGTGAGGGTGGACCAGTGTTGCAGACTTCTGATGTGTGATGTGACAAAGTGGTTGCTGTCGGCGTGTCGCTTGGTAGACGAATCGGGGAGTTTGACTGATTCGTCGAGGACGGCTTCTCAGAGGTCTTGCGGCCCAAGGTAGTGGCGAATGAATGACAGATGTCTTTTCCGAGATTAACCACCTTTTCGAATGGCTTACATGAAGTAGCATGAGATGAAGTAGATGTCTTGGGGGTGGGGAACAAAGTCCCAGTCGCAGCGCGTACATCCTTTTTGTCCTTGAATCCAAACATCGTTGCGCAGGGGTTCTGAATTTCTTCAATAAACTGGCGCTGTTGGTGGTCAGGTCTTGTCAACTCAAGTGTGGAGTGTTGCGGTCTTGGGGGTTGAGTTGCCGGCCCCAGACAAAGAGTCAGTAACAACAAAGGCACAAAGTAGGAGACTCTTATACGAGTATAGATTTGGACTTACCAAGTGAATCTATCTCAGCACGGCCACGCCTTTTGTGGGACCAGCGCTGATAGTAGTGAAGTACGCTAAAAGACAACGGAAGGCCGTGAGCAAGAAGCGTTGACGTACAGAGCCAGGACCACTATCCGAGCGTTCGCGTTTGTCAACAAACTCTGCCATATGAGTGAGACCGAAAGCAAGCGGTTCTAGACTATGTAAGACATACCGTAGTTCTATGTTGGAATGCACGCTTATTGTGTAGCCACACAATGAGGGAATCAAAGGAAGAAACCGAGATGTCACCCAATCACCCTATTGATGGTGTCTTTAATCTCCGGTAATTGCGGCAAAACAGTAATGAGACATTGTCGTGTCTGATGGGAGCGACTCCGTACAAGCAACGAGACAAGCTGCTCTGATCTTGGCGAGGAGCCATCCAAGTCTTTCCGAAGAAGGACCTCCAAGTGCAATAGAACCTTTGCTTCATGGTGTACCAAAGGCAAGTGTGAAATAAGTTAGTATCAGCACAAGATCTTCTGTGTCTCATTAGCTTGGTGAAAGGTATGTGGTACTTTGGACCGCTGACAGCTTGCGAAGGAAGACTGTGGCAACCCAGTCGCAGCTATGACCATTCACCTCTCGTACCTCGTAGTATATCAAAAGGCACTCTCCCTGCCATAGATATACGCACACAACTTCCTACGCAACCTGCACTCCAGTACGGATTTCTCAACTATCCCCACAGAAACATACGCGTACTCAAAGTATACGCCCGTGATCCATTCAAGCTCCTACCTCATCCTCCCATATTTGACTCTTTTAGCTCTGTCGATATCAGGAACCGTTATTCCTCTTCGCAGTCCTCGGCCGCAACACACATTCGCTGTACACCTCTTGTATTCTTCAGTCTTCTGTGTAGCAAGTCTCGCCATCATAGGACTAGGTGATAATCCAAGATGCCCATATTCAAGGGTTTGAAGAGTAAACTCGGTGCTGGGGAACCCAAAAAGGAAACGAAGGCCAAGCCACTCCCTCCTCGACTCGCCTTCACGGAGCAAACCTACCCCGACGAATACATCATCAAGAATTTCGACGACCTCTTTTCCAAGACAGTCCGAGTTTGGAGAGGCGGTGACTGGAATAAGAATGTAAGAAATGGTGCCACAGGCGCACTATTCGAATCATCCCACCACGTGCCCGGCGAAGGCGCTAAGGATCGTGCGGCTTTCAAGGACGGCAAGTTTGGATTTTGCCTAGAGTGGATCAACTTCTTGTACGAGGGAAAAGTCTATCGTGTCCGCTGTATGAATGCGTTCTGCGTAAGATCGCAACAATGTACAGACCACCCCAAAGCAGTGTACAAGGACGGCCCAAACCGCATCTATGATCTCTTGAATTGGGGCGAGACGATCAGATATGGTATGATCAAAGATATCGGCGCTCCAGAGGTTCCTTTGACGGATGAACAGCGGAGATTGCAGGCCGTGAAGGATCTCAAAGAGCTAGAAAACAGGCTAGGTGTGGCGTATGACGATGGTCAACCTGCCGAAGAACTGACTAATCAGGTGGAAATCATGCGGAGAGCGATCAGTAACAAAAGTTACTTGCTTGAGGACAGATCAAACGCCGCGCCCCAACCCTCTGCTCCTGCCACTATTCTCAACTCCAGGAAAGCTTTGAGTAACAATGCGCCAGGTAATCCAGACCTCGATGCCAAGGCCAAGCGTAATCCGAACAATGCCGCAAAAGGAGGCAAGACGGCCTTCACAAGAGCCTTGGACTCGATCAATGAGCATCCGGGATCCTGAGACCATATCTACCCACCGCTTTGAAGGTCATGAGAGGTAGACTTGTAGGGACGCATTGTGTACGCAGTTGACCCTGTCTTGACTTATCCGCAGATTTGGCGCCCATGGATGAGATAGCGAAGCTGATCTCCGACTTTTGGTATAGCGTGAGGTCGATATAGAATAGAAAAGATCCCAAAACTATCTCTTTCTTGCATGTGAAACATGATTGTCTCTCGAGGGTAGCGAAAGAACATAGGCGTGAACGATTGCACACGGCGTTAGTGGAATGCGTCGAGGCGTGTTATGAGAGACATAACCGGTAACTGTAGATGCGCAGTCAAGGATCTCAAGCTGCCGCTCGATCTACCGAGCCCGAGCGTAGCAGGGTGAAACTGTTATGCGCATCGTGGATAATGTGTGTGGTGTCGTATGATGGCCCTGGAGGCAGGTACGGTCCGCCGCGCTGACGCGAACGGCAAACACAAAGAGCGATCAACCAGAAGCCAGGCCAATACCCTTTGATCATTTCGTGAGCGATCTCGATTCTCACCGACCGCAGTAAAAACTCACAAGCCGTCCGTGGCAGTCAACAGCCAAAAGTGTGAAAATGGAGTGAGGTGGAAGAGCGAGGAAGCGACCACCGACGCGACAACGAAGGCCGCACTTCAAGACACGTGATCGCGCGATTGCCGAGTGCGGAAACCACGACCCCAACGCTCCCATGTTTTGACGACTAAACAGACGAGATCGTTGCGCCTAGTAAAACTGAATCATAAGACACAAGTTAGTTGATGCATGTTCCGAAGAGAAACAGGAGACGACACACACACACACATCCTCACATCCTCGAAGCGGATCACACGCCAATTGACAATAACATCGTCATATTTCTTCTTAATTATCTACCCAGCACCCAGTCTCAGCCAACGCGCAGCAACGCAACAACGTGACTCTATATTCCCATCTCATGCGTCTCATTTTCCCTCCAGCAAGTAAAAAAGCCCCACCGAAACGCAATTTGTATCGGGCCAGCAAGTCTGTCTTTCTAAACATGCGCAAGCATCCATCTCTCAAAAAGAAAGCCCCCGATTATGTTCTGAGGGCAAAGGCGCGCAATAATTCAACAAACAGACGCTCCGCTACCAAACGCCCATGCGCAATTTTCTTCCAGAGCAAGGTAAAAGCAGAATGATTAAACGCCCGTAAAACAACCCCAGCCGCGTAGAAGGGAACTCAGGGTGTTTGTATGCAATCTTGAACCGCGTGACAAGAGTAAAAGAAGAAACGCGCAAAAAGCAGGTTTTTGGTGCCACAACCGTGCAGCTTCGGATAATAGTGGTACAAAAGCATGGAAAAAGAGGGAAAGCCCCATCACTCGTTGCGCAGAATCCATGTGAGTGACAGTAGTAGTGCCGTGAGCCTAGTTAAAGGAACGGCATACCACATATACAGACATGAGACTGCTATACGAGACCAGCCGTGATAGGGTAGAGCGACCATGGACGGAAGAAGTTCTAGGAGAGAGCACTCTCGGGGGAGAAGGGGAGCAGGTAAGGCACTTGCTCGACATTTTCACACCGGAAGAGGTCACTCACCTAGATCATCAAGCCATGGTAAAGAGAGAGGAAAAGAACATTTTCATACACAAAAACTAGAAGAAGAGATCGAGAGAGAAAAAAGAAGGCTCCGATACCTACATCGCCATCAAGCCAACTATTGCTTTGGAGATCTGGAATAAACGTTAGCACGTGCAAGATAAACGGAGTGTTGTCTACAACTATGACCAAAGGGTTACTTACGTAGGAGAGTACGCTCCGCCCGGAGAGGTAGGGCTGTAGCGCGGAGAGGTAGGTGAGAAGGAGCCTGCTGGACTGGTGGGCGAGTAGCGAGGCGACGTCGGGCTGTATTGCGGCGACGTGGGTGAAGTTGGAGACTGCCTGTTGCTGCTCGCTTGGTACTGAGGGCTTGTGGGACTGTACTGCGGCGATGTGGGGCTGTATTGTGGCGACGTCGGGCTGTACGCGGGGGACGTCGCGCCACCCATGAACGTTGGGGACGTCGGGCTGTAGTTGGGCGATGTGGGAGAGTATTGAGGCGACGTCGGGGAGTAGCCAGCAGGAGATGTGGGCGAGTACGACGGTGATGTGGGTGAGCCGTATCGAGGCGATGTAGGCGAGTAGTGCGGGGATGTAGGCGAAGCCATGTATCCTGGTGATGTTGCGGCGAAACGAGGGCTGGCAGTACCAGGCGAGGTAGGCGAGTAACCAGGCGAGGTTGGTGAGAAGCCTGGAGACACCGGGCTGGTAAAGCCAGGGGACATGCCAGTGAAGCCTGAACCACCCGGGCTTCTGCCTCCGTCGTACCCGCCGGGGCTGAAACCACCACCTCCGTACATACGACCATAGTCAGTGAGACCACCGGAATCGTCACCTCCACCAGCGGCAGCCATAGGAGAGAACGAAACCTGATCGTAAGAGCCGACACCCATGCCACCCTCGTACGTAGGAGAGCCCAAGTCATAGGGTGTGTTGGCCCCGTCACTCAGGTAGTTGCCAGCGCCAGCAGCGCCACCCATCATCTTGGAGTTGTCCTCCACCATGGTGAGAAGCATGGCGTTGTCCATGACGACGTCAAACTCTCCAGTACCCATAGGCGCCAACTGACCGAGCATGATGTTCTCAGATACACCACGGCAGTCGTCCAGCTCACCAAATCCGGCAGCTTCCAGGAGAATCTCGACTGTTTCTTCGAAAGAACAACGCATAAGAGCACCAGTGTCGTTACGGTTGATACCGTGACGGGTGATGGCCATGAGAAGACCACGCTGGCACATAATGTCGACGAGCAAGGCCATGTGACGATGGTTGACGTAAGAACCGTCGAAGGACAAGACCATACCAAGCTCCTTGAGAAGACCTGCACGAGCCGCTTCGATCCCAAGAACAGCGAGGATCTCGATGAAAGAGTTGGAGTAGGTCTTGGTGGCATCAACGCCCTCAATGGCAAGCACCTCGGCCAGTGCAGTACCTGTAGTATCGAGCACCCACTCCTTGCACTCGTCCTTGTTCTTCGAGTGTACAAGAGACTTGTCTGCCAACTCAACGGTAGTGATGTGGTCTCGGATGAAAGCACGCTCGATACCGCGAACACCACGTAGCGTAACGTCATCGAGAAGATGCTTCTCAAGCTTGCGCATCCATCGCTCGTCACGCTCGTCCTCATCCTCGTCATCCTTTTGAAGGTTCTGGTCCCAGATGAAACGAACACGCATGACCTGCTCGTCGGCGTTCTCGTCACTGAAGATGACTGCCAGGTTGGGCTTGAACTCTTCCTTGATCTTGCCGGCAACTTCGCCAATGGTGATACTCTTGTCCAACAACTTCTTGCGGTCGAGGATGATTCGAAGCAGCCACTTGGACTGGGACTCGATAACTTCGTCCTCTTCGGGAAGAATGAAGTAGGACTCAACCATGTCCTGGTCCTCCTCAACTAGCGTGGACTGGATGTCGGGGTCGTAGTAAAGCTCAACAGCTTGTGTCAATGAGCGGAGGGTTGTGAGCTCGATGGTGCTTCGCAGGCGCTTGGCATCCTGTTGGCTGGCCTTGGAGTCTGTTTGGCGGACCAACATAGACGGAGTCTTGATGTTGGCAGCGACGTTCAGAATTTCCTTGAGACGGGGCACACCGAGAGTGACGTTCTTAGAAGACACACCGGCAAAATGGAAAGTGTTAAGCGTCATTTGTGTAGCGGGTTCACCGATGGATTGCGCGGCCAGAACACCTACCATCTCACCAGGAGCGACAGCGGCCTTGAGGAAGCGGTCTTCGAGTTCACCAAGAACATAGTTCAGGGCCTCCTTGTTTAGGCGATGCTGAACGACAAGCTTCTTGTATGCGAGACGAGCGCGAAGATGAGCCTTGAACAGATACGTTGCACTGCTCTGGGCCTCTCTTGACAGTTCGTCGGTGCCACGAATGACAACCAATCGCTCCAGAGTCTCTTGCACCTGTCTGATGGTCTCGATGGGGTGTAGGTTGCTGACAGCCTTCTCGGGGTTGATATTAAACCGCGCCTGAGCGGACCGGATCATACGCTGAATGTTGAGCGGCAACTGGAAGGACTCTAGGTTCTCGTCGGTCACATTCTTGCGGAGAGTCTGACGATCAAGTTTGATCATCTCGAACTCTTCGTCCAGGGCTCGTTGAACGTCGACGTCACCCTGGAACATAGTAGCACCCTCCAGCTTCGACACTGGAATCTCCGGGTAGTCCGTCGTGAGAACGTCAAGCTTGTATCCATCCTCAAAGTCGGCCTCGGAAGCCATGAGGATATCCATGGACTGGTTCTCAATGTGTGCGCCATCCAAACCGTCTTCACCGTAGATGAACTCAACGATATCTCCCATAGAGTTACGCACAGTTCCATCGTACTTGACCATAACATCTTCGAGCGCCTTGACGAGACGACGTTGAATGTAACCAGTCTCAGCTGTCTTGACTGCTGTATCGATCAAACCCTCACGACCAGCCATGGCGTGGAAGAAGAACTCCGACGGCGTAAGACCGCGCAGATACGAGTTTTCGACGAATCCACGAGACTCTGGCGAGTAGTCGTCCTTGGAGAAATGCGGCAGTGTCCTGTACTTGAAACCGTAAGGAATACGCTGTCCTTCCACAGCTTGTTGACCGACAAGGGCAACCATCTGAGAGATGTTGACAGTGGAACCCTTGGAACCGGAGACGACAGTTTGGACAACGTTGTTGAAATCCTTCAAACTGGTCTGAGCAGCGGTACCTCCACCCTCACGACCTTCGTTAAGGAACTTCTGGACCTTGGATTCGAATGTACCACGAATCGTCATACCAGGCATGGGCTCAAGCGCGTCCTTAGTAGCCGTCGCAATGATCTCTTCAACCTTGGCCTTGGACTTGCCGATTTCGGAGGCAATCTTGTCGGAGGTGGCGGGGTCTGGGATGGTGTCACCCACACCGAAACTGAAACCGTACGTAAGAAGCCACCAGTTACAGATGCGCTGGCAGGCATTGAAGAACTTGACTGCTGCATCCGGTCCGAGCTCGTTGAAGATGATGTGAATAACACCACCTGCAGAGGCTCCGACAATCTTCTTTGTGACCTGACCGTAAAGCAGCTGACCACCCTTGATAGCGAACGACTTGTCGACGATGTCGTTGTATGCATTGGGCTTGGAGTCCGCCTCCTTCTTCTCAATGTTGACCTCGCGTGGGAAAGCCATGCTGATAATCTGCTTACCAGTCCAGAGAGGCCGGGGCTTCAGAATGGCCGGCTCTGGAACAATACCATCCCAATCAGGCACCCACATGAGGATGGGCATGACCTGCTCGATGGGGATGAAGTTGTCACGACGACTCATCTTGTAAACACCGAGAAGCGTGTCCTGCACGATACCCATCAAGGGCTGGTTCTTCTGTGGTGATACAATCTGCTTGGGAACCATGCACAAGTTCTGCACCTCAGCGCGGGTCTCGTCACTCTGGGGGACGTGAAGATTCATCTCGTCACCGTCGAAATCAGCGTTGTAGGGTGATGTGACGGACAAGTTGAGACGGAAGGTTGAGTAGGGCATGACCTTGACGCGATGTCCCATCATGGATTCCTTGTGGAGCGAGGGCTGACGGTTGAAGATGATGACATCGTCGTCGTCAATGTGGCGCTCGACCTTCCAACCGTACTGTAACCGCAGGTCGTCGAGGTTCTTGTTGTGCTTGAGGTCGAGACGGACACCGTCGGCCTTGATGACGTAGTTGGCACCAGGGTGTTGGTTAGGACCGTTGCGCACCAGGTTCGTCAGCTTGCTGATGTTGAACTTGGTGACAACCTCGGGGTATGTCAGGGTACGTGCGATAGATCGAGGCACACCGACTTGGTCCAGTGACAGGTTAGGGTCACCGGTGATGACAGTACGTGCGGAGAAGTCGACACGCTTTCCCATCAAGTTACCACGAAGACGACCCTCCTTGCCCTTCAAGCGACCACGGATAGTCTTGAGCGGTCGGCCAGACTTCTGCATGGCCTGTGGAACACCGTTGGCGTCGTTGTCCATGTAGGTGGCGACGTGGTACTGGACGAGAGCCTCAAACTCGGCCGTTACGTGAGCAGGCGAACCCTCCTGCTGACATTCTGCGACACGACCGTTGGCGCGGATAATGTCTCCAAGCTTGTAGGTCAAATCGTCCTCTCCACGCATACCCTGACCAGTACCGTCGACGGAGATACTGGGGCGAACCGGAGGTGGAGGTACTGGCAGGACATCGAGAATCATCCATTCGGGGCGAGCGTAGTCGGCGTTCAGACCGAGCAGTTGGAGTGTGTTGTCAGACATGAGCTTGAAGATAGTCTGCGCCTGCTTCGGTGTGATGACTTCCTTGCGGTCGCCTTGGCCGTCGTCGTCGTCCTTCTTGCTCTGTTTCCAGGTGCCGGTCAGCTTGAGACCCTCCTTGCGGATAGAGTCTGGCTGTTTGCTGCCGCAGCCGCCGTGGGCGATCTTGGGGAGCTTGTTCTTGTCGCTGCCGTCGTCCACATCCTGCATGCACACGGTCTTGCCCTTGGACATGCGCCAGATCTTGTCGAAACGCTTCTTCGCATCCTTGGTCTTGGCGGCGGCGGCCCAGTCAGGATGGTTCTGATATTGCAGTTAGCATGAGCACGAAAATCTAGGATCTGAAGTCTCTGTCTTCCGCGGGAAGACTTACGAAGTCAGCCTTGATCAGACCACACGTGTGGCAGACAGTCTCGAGCAGCTTCTTGATCTTCACGACGAAACCGACGTGGAAGACGGGTGTGTGCAGTTCGATGTGACCAAAGTGACCCGGGCAGGTCTGAATGTCCTCCTTGCAGGTCGCGCACGAGTACATGCGGTCAATGGTGCCGAGCTTGGGGTCGTTGAGACCCTGCTCGCGCGGCTTCTGCTTCTGCTCGTCCATGGTCTCCGGGTAGATGATGTGGACCACACTCATGGCCTTGATCTCCTCGGGGGAGAGCAGCCCGAACTGGATCTCCTTGATCGTCCGGAGCGGACATTTCGACACCTGGGGGGCGCCGGGAGGCATCCTGGCGGCGGTTGAAGTAGAAAGGGAGTGCGGGTGAGAGAACTATCGGTCGGCGGTCGCGGTGGCCACGCCGGGCGGTTCCTCCGCGTATTAAGTAGTAAGTGCGACTGCCGTTGTAGCTGCGTCGAGAGCTGTGGGGCCTGGTGAAAGACCGATTGCGCGCCGCGCGCTGAAAGAGATGCGGTCGAAGAGTCGTACCCGTGAAAAGGGCGGACGGGGGTCGGGGGCTCGCCGGGTCGCGCCTCGGGGTCGAAGGCGTGCGCGCGTATTAAAAGCGCTCGGGGGAGCACTATCGGGGTCGGCGAGGTGGAAGACGCGCTCTAAGTAGGTAAGAGCGGCCGTTGGTGATGGCGGGTGGGGTGGTGGTGAGGGCGTCGTGCTGTTAGAGACGGAAGGCGACAAAGAGTTGCGGCCGCGCTTTGACGCACTAGCCGAGTCTCACGTGCAGTGACCACCGCGGACGGGACCACGCCGATTCCATGCTCCTCACTTTGCGCCTATGGACTTCATTCACCAGTCGCGTCTGTAAAGATGCTGCCAATTGAGTTCCTTCCTCTGCACTCCCCGCCCTCTGCAGTGCACCACCATGAATCTCTCGCTGGTTGATCCCTTTGTCCTCGCGCAGGACTGCCCCGATGTCATCACTGGCCGCCTACGTGAGTTCGACATTGTTCCCAGGTTACTTTTCCCACCAGGCAGCAGCTGACAACGCGCAGGCAGCGGCCACTCGACGTCAATTCGCTTCAGCCACCGCGGCGATCTGCTTGCATCCGGACGGGTACGCGAATGTTACGCCGTGCCATGTGATTTCCGCTGATTGGATTCCAGCACGATGGCATCGTCGTCATCTTCGACATTGAGACAAACGGCGTTGCGCGCAAGCTGCGCGGCCACACGCGCCAGGTCCAGTCTCTTAGCTGGTCGACCAACGATCGCTATCTTCTGAGCGCCGGACAGGACTGGAAGTGCGTGCTCTGGGACTTGAAGGATGGCTCGCGGGTGCGCACCGTCCGCTTTGAAGCGGCCATCTTCATAGCGGAGCTGCACCCAAAGAACCAGTGAGTGCTTACATATCACGTAGGGTTATTTTTATCTAATTGATGTCTAGCATGCTCTTTGTAGCCGCCCTCTTCGAAGACCAGCCCGTCATCGTCGACATGTCCGAGGAAGTCCCCGTCAAACACTCCCTCTCGTCCGCGCCCCATCGAACCGACATAGAACGCGAGAATGCCTCCGAGAAGCAGACGGCGCAAGACGCCAAGCAGACGACCACCATGACGCTCTTTACACCGACGGGCCAGCACATCATAGCAGGCACCAACAAGGGGTGGCTGAACATTATAGACACCGAGACACACGCCGTCCGCTACTCGTTCCGCGTCACCAACAACATCATCGTATACATTCGCATGACGCCATCAGGGAGGGATGTCGTACTCAACTCGAGCGATCGTATTGTCAGGACACTCCACCTACCCGATCTGAGCGACCCAAAGTTGGACTTTGACACACTGCAGCTGGAAGTCGAGCACAAGTTCCAGGATCTTGTGCAAAGGCTCTCATGGAACCACGTCTCATTCAGTCCTACAGGCGAATACGTCACAGCATCTACCTGGATGAACCACCACATCTACGTCTGGGAGCGTGGTCAGGGCAGTTTAGTCAAGATTCTAGAAGGCACCAAAGAGGAGCTCTCCGTAGTCGAGTGGCACCCATTCCGACCCTTCGTCGCCGCCGTCGGAGTAGACTCAGGCCGCGTCTGGCTCTGGTCGATCCTCCAGCCTCAACGCTGGTCCGCCCTCGCCCCCGACTTCGTCGAAGTAGAAGAAAACGTGGAATACATCGAGCGCGAAGACGAATTCGACATCCAGCCTCTCGAAGAATTGCACAAACGGCGTCTAAACGCCGAAGACGAAGAAGTCGACGTCCTCACCGTAGACCCTGTTAAGACCTCGGCCACGGAATTCGGACCGGCGATTGGCGACGCAGAGTTCAGGATGCCGGTCTTGTTGGATATCGAGGCGAGCGATAGTGAAGATGAGGTGGTGGCTGTGGGTGCTGGTCAGTTCAGACGGCGCAGTCCTGGCGCTAATAAGGAGTGGATGAATGATGACGAGGTGGCGGTTAGTGGTGATGAGGCAAGGAGAGCTAACGGTACTGCAGTGAACGGGACGAAGAGACGGCGAGGCTGATGAACGAAGCATAGGCGGCTGCTAATATCGTTGCTACCAGCTGTATGGGAGGAAGTGCTGAGACGCATCGCGCGACAAGAGCGCGCTGACATGACAACACTGTATGGAGTGTGCTTGAATACAAGACATCGTCAATTGCATAAGCGGTTGATAGACACCACAGTGAGAAGGACTAAGGATAATATCTTATCAATACATTACTACCACCTCATAGAATAAAAAATCTGAACAGGTCTGCAGACTACATCAACCCAAAAACTTGCAAAGTGGGTGATCCAACGTCAACGTAGACTCCAGAGTGTTCGGTTTTTTCCTAGGTTGGCGTGCTACCTTGTTCTTCTCCGCGGCTCGAATGCCATATTGGCAAATGAGCTTCTATATTCTTCTAACATGTCGTGCTTTCCCTGGTCAAATACTCCGCTCCACGATTGAAGTAGATGTTCGTCTAAATCGCAGGTGACTGTAAACTCCATAATGTTTGATGATGCGTTACGGAGTGGGCTCAAATGGTTTCCAATCATGTTTTTCATTTCGCAAACGAGCGTCTCAATGGCGTTGTCCTGATCTTACCTCTACATTCCCAACATATTGCGCATCCTTTATTTTGCTCAAATTTAATACATATTGATTTCCTTGTGATTGCTAGGTGACCACTCTTCTCTTTTATGAAAAATGACCTCCTGCTGCCGACTAGCAAGATGGACCCAATTGAGCTCCGAAAATGTCTCGTTGTTGCGACTACCTATTTTGACATACTACATATCTCGTACCCACCTCGCATTGTGTTGAGAAAAATGTAGCACCGTGTTCCTCCATATGGTAGGCGGTAGCACATGTTTGAGTCCACAATTATTGGCACGGATTGACTTCGGATGGCGTGGCGCGGCGTCGCTTCATCACACAAACGACGATGAAACCTGTATTGGCGTTGACCTGGCGGTGATGACCTTGAACATGTTCTGGGCAAGGCTAAGGCAACACCAATGCTGCAACTTGTCTAGATTAATCGTGGATGGCTGGGGCGACGATGGATGCGGCGGCAGGTCTAGCAAACGTCACTCGGCCTCGGTTGGTAGGCGTTGTCCCTGGTTGTGGATTGTGATCAGGCCCAGGGGCGATGCATGAGAGTCAGCGGTACTGTGCAAGCTGATGCGCCTCGATAGAACCATGGATGAGGATGCAAGGCGCGTCGCAGTGCGGTGAGCCCCCGGGAAGTAAGGGCATTCCAAGTATAGAACCATGTCCGATGGACTGCAGACTCTGAGCGTCTCGGATGAAGAAAAGGTTGGGTTGGTGTCAGACTCCGGGTGGGCGATGCGCGATGCTTCTACCGCACCGCCCGCCGCTCCATGGAACGCGCAATTTAGCTCGATGCCACACGGACCTCGCCAGTCGAACGCCAACATCCTGCCGAGCACACCATGACGGGCAGAACAGACAGGAGAACGCAATGGAAAACGCGATGCACATGCGATAATTGCCTGCCAGCAGCGACAGCGAGATATCCAGAGCACAAATGCGGCTAGCGTGACTGGGGGCCGTGCGCCCTCCTCCTCTTGGGAGTGTCGGAATACAATGAGAAAACGTTAGCGACGATTCCCGCCCAATATGATCTGGGAAACCGACCACCCCAGCTGGGCCGGCGAAGCCCTTTCTTTGCCCTCGCGGCAGCCTTCGTCACCACCCACTCTCCCTGCCACTCCCCCTCTGCATCTCTCCACGCTCTGCTTGCATCGACGCGCTTCATCAGCTCGACGATACCTCGACTTCCTGTGAAGCACGGCTCACCCAGCTTGCTGCTCACCCTAGCCACCGACACGCCAACGCGCTGACCGGCAGAGCCACTGTCTTCTCTCCTCACCGCTGCAGGCCAAACCATCACCACCACCATCTCTGCTGCCCTCTACATCAGCCATCTCAGTCCATCATCGCCGCGTTCCTCTGCACGCGAACATGACCACGAAATCACCAAAGACACTCGTCGTCGCACTCAAGCTGTCACCGGATTCCCTGCGAGACTTTCCACACGAGCCTGCAACGCCGCCCAAGGAAGAGGCCAAGCCCTCTCCACCAACACCCGCGCCGCAGATTAACGAGCCCTCACCTGCTGCCACGCCCGCCGACTCAACCCCCAACATGAACGGAAGCACACCGTCGTCGCTGGCCCCTCCCTCTTCGAAGAGGAAGGGCCCCAAGCCCGGCAGCAAGCGGAGTGCTGCGCAGATGGAAGCTGGCGCAGGCGCGAATGGCGCAACCCCCAAACCATCCAAGGCCAAGCCAGGGCCAAAGAGGAAGAAGATGGGCGACATGATCAACGACCCCAACTCCAAGGGACCCTTCCCAGCACCCGCCGCCATCAACAAGGCAGGCCCCAAGGCAAACCTGGGAGCCATCAACGAGCGTCTGCGCGCCCTCGACAGGTCAGGGGCCAAGTGCCGTCGCTGGGAGAAGAAGGGATTCCAGGTCCGCAGCTTCACCGGCGTCATGTGGCAAGTGCCTACATACCAGCCAGGTCGCAAGGGCGCTTTCGCCGACGACGTCAAGAGCGACAGCACCGGCACCAGCGAGTCCAAGCTGAAGGACGAAAGCAGCGCAATCAGCGACAAGAGCGGACTGAACGGCGACAGCACACCCGTACCAACGCCCATGAACGGCATAGCAAGCTCTCCTGCTCCTATTCCCACTTGAGGCATGAACTCTCTTGGTCTCATTTCCTTTGATGTATTCCTGCTCTAGCCTGCACCTCTTGCGGCTCGACCTTACTTTATTTCTTGCTACCTGTTTTATATCGACTTGCTTCCTTTGTCTTGTTTGGCGTTGAGGGGGCGCATTGCATCACTACGTAAAAGGCGCCAACTGAGGCGTCACTGGCTTGCCACGGGCAGCATGGTGTACGGCGCACAGGTATGTTGTGAATGGACATCACAAATACTGGATACGGACATGGAATCCGGATAGAGACGGAAAGGGGCTTTGCATAGCATTATGGAGAGAATTGAATATCCATGTCAAACTATAAGTACTTGTCCATGCATCCTGAGAACCTCGGTCGCAGGTATTGCCAGCATGCCAACCCAAAGCATATCAACGTGACAGTGTATCTTCTCGCGCCTTGAGATTGTAGAGTGCCCACTTTTGAAGCCACCTAGTATGATGAATGTCAAGGATGAGCGTGACCTGGATGGCGTTATCGTACCCGTGGATCGCGGGGATCTCCACCGATAGCTCGGCGCATCCAAACCTCCGCCCATGGACCTCATTGACGTACAACCTGCCCAGCACACCTTCGCTAGCTTTCCTGCAGCAGATCCTCCGCTGATGATACCATGAATGCACTTGTGACGATCGCCTCACAGGAGCCCGGGTGCCGTTGATTCTTGCCCTTGCCGTTGGCACCTTCCAGCACAGAGTACCGCATTCACTCGGCGCCAGAGACAGCTAGCCCACGCGTCACTGCGCTGTTGGACATCTCCAAACCCCGTCAGCGACTACGACCGCCCGTTCGACCATTACTACTCGCGTAGTCTGCGTGTCCGCCCTTTGCGATCGCTTCCAAACGTCCGCCCGAACACGCTGGTACTTGGCAGCAGCGCCACTATCGATCACTATGAATCCTCGGAGGGACAGCTACGCCAGAGTAGCTGCTGCATCGGCAGGCAGCAATAGCTCATTCCAACAACCCACCCGATCCGGCGCCTTTGCACATCTCGCCAACAGCGGCTCAACATCGCACCCGAACCGCCTCTCTCGCTCCATCGACGCCGACGGACATATGTCTACGAGTTTCGGAAGGGCCGGTGGGCCACTGCCCTCATACTCCAGCCAGTCTGGCTACTGGCATGGCTTGGGAGGGTCGACACAGGATATACCGCCGTTCTTCGTGCCTTCCTACCTGCGCGGGTCCAAGCACGCCGAGAAGTTACAAGAGGCGCACAAGGCGAAGCTGGCAGCCCAGCGGGAATACAAGTCAACGCACTCGTCCAATGCAGGCTCGCTGTCTACTAGTTCTAGCAGCGTCAACCTGCACAAGATGGCGCCGTCGCATCGCGGTCTCACGCATGAGATAGTAGAGCGTGCGCCGGTCTTTGTGGATGAGCCGGTAGCGCCATGGCCGACACGGTGGAATGACGCAGACAGGTTTCCTCAGCTCGAGCTGGAGGATGGTCAGAGGCTGGCCAAGTTCTCGGGCTCACAGAAGACACACGATGAAGCTGCGTCGGTTCGCGCGGACTTTCCCATGCCGCGGCAGTGTGGGATCTACTACTACGAGGTTACTGTTGTTTCTAAGGGGAAAGACGGGTATGTTTGCTTGACACCTTTTGATGCACACGCTAATTCACTGGGCAGTAGAATGATCGGAGTAGGCTTCTCAGGACCCAAAGTCGCTCTCAGCAGGATACCGGGTTGGGAGCCCGACTCGTATGCGTACCATGGCGACGATGGCCAGGTTTTTAGTAATACCACTTCCGGAAAATCATATGGGCCTAAGTTTGGCACACTGGATGTTATCGGCTGTGGCATCAACTTCCGGACAAATACTGCGTTCTTCACAAAGAATGGTCATATGCAAGGTGAGTACGCGAAGTGAGAGAAATGGATAGTTCTAACGAGCTCAGGGACGGCTTTCCGAGATCTGAAACCCAATATGCCGTATTATCCTACCGTAGGCATGAAGAAGCCCGGCGAGATGGTCCGCGTCAACTTTGGCCAAGAACCCTTCGCTTTCGATATTGACAAGATGGTACAAGACGAGAAGGCCGCCATACAAGCTGAGATCGCCCGGACCAAAACAGAGGCGGGTGCGTTGGGAGGCGAGGATGCGTTGATACATCAGTTGGTGGGACAATATCTGGCGCACGACGGCTATGTAGAGACTACACGAGCCTTCTCGGATGAGATTGTCGAGGAAGCGACAGCGCTTGCGAATAACGACGAGGAAGACGTTTCATACCGAGCAGCAGTAGAGGATCTGGATGCGCTGAACCGACAAAGTAAGTTCGTCCCTGAGACTACGAATACAGCCTAACAGGAAGCAGAAATACGGACAGCTATTCTGGAGGGTGACATTGACAAGGCACTTAAGCACACCACCGCATACTACCCCTCAGTGCTCCGCGACAACGAAAACATCTACTTCAAACTCCGCTGCCGAAAGTTCATCGAGATGATCCGACGATGCGGAGAGTTGAACGCACAATGCCAATCCGCACCAGCACCATCATCCAAACGATCCACCGCTTCGAATCCCAACAAGCGCAACTCAACCGCAACAGAAGAATACGATTTCGAAATGGAGCTCGACGAGCAACTAGGCGTACACAACCCACCACCCAGCTGGGACAACAAGGACCAAGACGACTACTTGGAAGTCGGAGACGAAGACGACATGGAAGACAAGGTAGCCAAGAGCGAACGAGCGACAAGCGAAACTATAACATATGGCATGGAGCTGAAATCCGAGTTCGCCAACGACCCAAGACGGGAAGTGAAGCGGGCTCTTGAAGATACGTTTGCGCTTATAGCATATGCGGATGCGCGGGAGAGTTCGCTGGCGCCTTTACTGGAGATTTCGGGGAGGGCGCCTGTTGCTGAGGAACTCAATAGCGCTATTTTAGGTACGTACAAGATGGAAGATGCAGAAGAAAGAGCTCAAACTAACAACAACACCCACGCAGTCTCCCTCGGCAAATCCTCCTCCGCAGCCCTCGAACGCCTAATCCAACAAACCGAAGCCCTCGTCACCGAACTCGCCGACGACGGCGGGCCCGGCGCTTTCATCAACGTTCAACGCGATTTCCTACAGTAGTATTCCTAGGAGGTGGGCCAGCCATGTATTCTTGCTCTCAACATGGCTCGGGAAGATATTCGTGTGTGCAAGAAGAGGTATGGCGTTGTTTATGCGAGTGGGCAGTGGGCGCGCAGGTGTATGTATTGGGGTCTGGGCAGGGGGGCTTGGAAAGGGTTGGGGTTGTGCTTTAAGCGGGGGTGGGTAGGTGGTATGAGTGGCAGGAAGAGGCCTAGGAGTAGGGATGGGAAAGATGAGGAGATGAGGAAAGTCAGACGGAGGGCGGGACTGTTGCGTTTTTCGGATGGGGGGTTGTGATATCATTATCTTTTTTTGGATTGAGCATTTGCATAGCTGAGGCTGAAGGCGTGGAGGGCGTTGTTTTGGCCCATTGAAATTGGGAGGATATCAACATCACTACTTTCTTGCTTTGTTTTGTGTAGTCTACTAGCAGGCATCTCAGGTCTGAACTGAAATTAGGAAGCCATCCATATCTCATCATATGAACCATGTACTCACGACTTTCTCACAGCGGCCACCACCACCTCTTCTTCTTCTCGCCATCCCCACTCCTACTCTCTTCTACCTTTTTACCCCCCTTCCCCTTCCCCCCACCCTCCCCAATCTTATCAAAGAAAACAACCATAATAGTAGTATCATCCACCGCATTCCTACTCAACGGCTCCGGCCCCGCCAACACGCCCAAAAACAGTCCCCTCCTACTCCCACCCATCGCATTCCTCGCCAAACAAACCGCCGCATTCTCATCCTCAATCGCAAAATACTGCGGCTCCGCTTTCCAATCTACATCTTCGCCGGCCGCGGGGTCGCACGTTACACCCGGGTCCAAGCTGGAGAAGTTTTGAGGGAAAACGGGAGGGTTACGGAGGAGTTCCGGGTCGGCCTTCACAGAGCCCTGGCCACGGGCGCGCGCGGCGAGATAGCGGGACACGCACTCGACGGCATGAGCGGAGGAAATCCGATCCCAAAGCCCGTCGGAAGCGAGGATGAGGAAATCGCTTCTTCCCCCTCTCTCTGCTTTCTCATCATCACCACACAGCATGCCATCCCGCGGCTCCCTCCTCACAACATCCGTTTCCGTAACCTCAGGCTCCGCCGTCATATACGGGGGACTCAGATTTCCCGGTCGGGGCGCCGTACCCCAGAATTTGTGCTGGCACGCCTTGATAGTCTCGTTATCCCATTTCCAGCGGTGGTCGCCGAAGCCGCGGGTTACGGCTATGCCGAGCATGCGGCCTGTTTTGGGGTCTATGACGGAGGGTTCGTCGGGGTGTTCCTTGCTTAGTCGTTCGACTTCTTTGGCGTTGAAGCCGGTTTGGTCTTCCGAGAGGGGGATGCAGGTGTAGGTGTTTGTGGAGGGGTCCCAGCGGCCGAGGACGGCGCGGGAGTCTCCTGTGCAGGCGACGCGTAACTTGGAGGTTTGGGGATCGAATGCAGCGAGTAGCGCGCAGGACCCAGAGAAAGCGGGTGTGAGCGCGGCGATGGCGGCGGCGTTGGCGGCGGGGAACCAGGCTGCGGCTGTTTTGGCGCGGGACATGATACTTTTGTCCGTGGCGAGGAAGGCGGTTTTTATGCTGCTTTCGATTTGGTGGCTTGAGGCGTGCGGTGTTAGGGTGCTGAGCGCGGAGGACACCATGGGGATGAGTGTCCATTGGAGGTAGAATGCCGTGTGTCGTCCTGCATGGCCATCTAGTACAGTCCAGTAATTCCACAGGTTCTGCCCGGGACCAGGCGACGTTCCTAGTGCGAAGAAATCCTCACATGGCTCGTTGCTGCGGAACCGGCATCCGTGTGTTATGGGCATTTGCACGTCTGGCATGCCTTCGACACCCTTCTTTGAATCATCGGGCGTCATCATCCATCCGTAACATAGCTTGTCGAATTGCTCCGAGAAGAACTTCGCTACGGCGGGGTCTCTCATCGGGGCGCTGGGGTCTGGGATGTGGAAGTCGAGGATGTGTTGGACTTCTTCTTTTGAGGAGTAGAAGTGGAGGGGTTGGGCGAGTTGGGATGCATCGTCGCCGGTTTCGAAGGCGCCGTAGACGCTGTCTGTCCAGTCGGTTTCTACTATGTCGACGAAGTAGTATGCTAGGCCGCCTAGGGTGAGGAGTACAAGGACGGTTTTGGTTGGGAAGCGTGATTCTAGGAGTGTGGTTGTGGGGTCCTTGGCTGGTTGGTTCCATCGCGTGTTAGAGAGGGGAGTATGTTTTTCATTGGTTCTTGAACTCTCAGGATGGGTTGGTAGGAGTCTTGTCTGCGAGAGGGCACGTGATAACGGACTTGACAGAACGCGTCCTGTGTGTGGCCGTAAAGCACGGGTCGTCACCGCTAGTGGCCTCTGTAACCGCGTTTGAGGCTGTGCTTTACCGGCGCATTTGAGCCGTACGGCGCTTCCCAACCTTCTTGGAATCATTTTACCTTGAATGCTACCTGTATCGCAAGTTGGGTGAGATGTGTTCTGCTTCTCGCGCGTTGTGGAGCTTAGATTTGAGGGTCTGTGCACGCGCTAGTTTGATCGCCCTTTCACGTGGAGCAATCGGGCAGGTGCTTGGCACGAGAACAATGAGTCCAGAAAAGCATGCGCTGGCTTATAGTTGCAAGGCCTTTGTGGGATACAAGCTGTTTGATCGTGTCTGTGTGATCATTATAGATAGTTCTAGTGTGAAACCATCGCTCCATGGTCATCGGCAGTGGTGTCTACGAGTTTAGTGATGAAAAGATAGTTGCTAATAATAGGCTATGGTAAGGATTGGGTATCTTCGTTACTTGCTTGTGCAACTCATGAAAGCCATAAGGATCCAAAACGCCTCCCAAAACCAAAGGGAAACATCAAGTACGCCACGTATACGCCGACAAGAGTGATGTTGGTGGCCAGCAGCTCATTAATCTGACCGGACGAGTATAAGCAACGGTCTTGATGTGTAGTTCTGATACAGTTCCATCTTTCTTCGGACACCGATGCCTTGTATTAATTCCCGGATGCTTTCGTACGATACACCGACCAGGAATCGCAGCGTCCAGCCTCCTCCCCATCTCCGTGTGTAGCAATAGACGTCGGACTTTGAGATGCTCAAAACATTTGGTGTGAGGTGGAGGTCACATCTCTGTCCAGTGTACATCCTCTATGCGGTCTACCTCTTCGTACTCTCGCTTCTTCTTCTCCTTTTTCTTTGCGTTCGTGTTCTTACGCCGGAGCATCAACTTCATCTTGTTTGCCAGTTTTCCAAAGGCGGCCGCTGTGGGAGTGCTGGCTGTCGGCTGAGGTGACGTAACATCACCCTGTGGAATGTCTTCGCTCTTCGGGGGGAAATCTTGTTGTGATAGGCTTGCTAGCTTGATCGCGTGGGGGCGATTGACGTAGCTCGCCTGCTTAGTAGGGTGCGATGAAAGCGATGTCTGTGATGAAATCTCCTTGGCAGAGGAGACCGGTTCTTTGGACTGAGCTCTGACGGTGCTGGCTTTGGGCTTTGGTGGGGCCTTCACAGGCAGTGGTTGTAGCATGCGCCATACTGGCTCAGTAGGGCTGGAAGGTTCAGAAGACGAGGACATGGGACGGACTAGGACCACCGATGAGTCGTCCCACTGGTGGTCCATCCTTGGTGAGTAGGCTGGCGTCGACGGCTCCGAGTCGATGAAGGTGCCGAAAGACTTTGCTGACATTGGTGGGGGAGACATTGGTCCCAGGGATTGTGGTGTCATAGGAGTGTGTACAAGAGCTGGAGGAGGATAGCTCTTCGTGGACTTTGCGGAGAAACGATGTGGTCGTTCGGGTGATATTGTACGCGGCTGCTTTGGCAGCCCGTGAGTGGAGAGCGGTCTGTGGATGCTGGCACCCAATGAACCCGAGCCCAGGCTAGGCGACGGCACCGACAGTGTAGCCATGTCTATGGGTGTGACAGTGCCAAGTTAGGGACAAGCTTTTCAATGAAGGTAGTAATCTTAAACCGCGGAGGCGTTGTGTGATAGTGCGAACGAGACGCACGATACGAAAAGAAGCGCGGGAAAGGCGGCGGCGAAGGATGTAAAAGAAGGCGGCACCCGTAGACACGTAAGTACCGAAAGGAGAGTATTGCGGCGTAGCAACGAGACCGGTCAACTGGGTAAATCAGACGGCAGAGGAGACCAAAGCTGCGCCCCCAAACGAAACAGAACGATAACAGAGGGCTGAAAGCGGTACAACCTATGATCTGCAGGCTACACTTTTGTTATATGAATGCACCACACACGCGTCATCCGCGCCGCGACGGTGCGTACCACACCGTTTACAGCTGACAGATCTATCTGCGCATTCCTGCTACTGAGGTGGCAATGTGGGACTACGCCCGTTGGTCTATACGCGTGTCAAGACTCGAGAGCCGCCTGTCCTGACCCCGCCGTCGCGACATGGCACGGAAAGCTCCTAAAGGATGAAGGACGTTGGATATGGGGCTAAGTAGGGCATGATTGGCGACCCAACTCGCGGGGGCGCTAAAGTTAGCGCTTCATTGGCTGACGGCGGACAACTTGCATCAACCACGCCGCAATTCATATAGAGTAGCGCCTGCAGGATAGGAAGTGCCAACAACGGGGACCCGGGGTGTGGACCAACATCGGGTGCTGTCCTGAACGGCTGGGATCTGCTGTCGTGGTTCGGTCTCGACGCAAGGCGGCTCACAGCCCCCATTCGCTCAACTTTGTTGCATGGTCTAGCGAATCAGCGCGACGAAGCACCTTTTCAGCCTGCGAGCCCCTTCACCTAAGCATGACCGCTGCCCGTTTCGAGGTGTAGGTAAGTTCCTCGGACCTGATGTCAGACCACAAGAAGAAGGCGTTCTTGTGTATGGTTCGCTGCCCTGAAGCTCCTCCAGTTCTCGTTCCCGAGGCGCTCAGCCTAGAGCTAGGATCATGAGTTCGCTGATCAGAGTTGGCCCCCAAGGCCTGAGTGGTCGAAGGTCACGCCAAACCTGTCCTTCATGACGACCTAGAACTTAGGGCAGTGTCCGGCGCGTCTGGTGAAGGACGACTGCGCCGCAATATCGAGGATGTTGAAAAGTGGGTATAGCCCATCTTGCTCGCGGCAGAAACCGTTGTGCAGTGTTGTGTAACACCCATAAGCGCCGTGCGAGGTTGATCCATGCAGGCTACTGGTGGGAGTGTACGAATGCCATACCAGTTGTAGACACAGTCGTGCGTCAAAGAGCCTTTTTAGATTAACCCGATGCGCGTCCGTGAGGGGTCATGGTAAGCGATGAGATTGTTGCAGATTGCTCTTAGGCCGTTCGGGTAGTTGATAGGAAATGTTGCGTGTCGCAGTCATCGCAGGCCGCGGGACAGAAGCTCGGGCCGTCCGCAGGGTCAGGATCGCCGAGACGAGGTCCAAGAAGAAACCGCATGCAGGTGAAGCTTGACTGTCAACGGCTATTGACCAAGATAAGTCGATCCTACGTGTTGTTGCATCGGCCCTTTGAGCGGGGAGCAGGAACTTGGAAGACGCCCGCGGGCGGGTCGCCAAGGAACTTTCTGCGTCGGGACCACCCTCAACAGCCGCCATCAGACCCTCCCTCCCTTCCAGCTTGCACGTATGTCTCCATCGAACCTCATCTGACCATGCAACACTACTTGTTTGTCCGCGCATGACTTGCCCTTTGGATGCAGCCAACGCTGGGTGTGGGACGTCAACAGTGTTGGATTTGCACCTGATCGCCCTGCATACTGCCGTGAATTGGACCGTCTATCGCTGTTAATTCTCTCACCAGTGAGAACCACATGAAGGCTCGGAGCTTGCATCAGATGAAATGCGCTTGCTCTTAATCTCCTGGAATGAGACTGTGTGGACGTAGGTAAGATGAGCAAGACGAAGTCTAGGACGTCTCAGGAGCGAGGTTCCGTTTCGCATACTGTCTCCTTCCATCTTTGTGTCAACTATACTTCTTTCACAAGATGAGTGGCTTTTCCGTCGAATTTACCCTGGTCTTATTGTCTCATGGGTGCCACCCCTCATGCCAGCACCAATTCGTTGACACTCATCATTCCCTGAACCCGATGTGAGGATTAATCTCATGCTCTGCGGTCAACCATACAGCTGGGCGACAACACAGTCGGTCATCTTCCACACGACGGTTGTGTCACGTCCTTAGATTCCAACGCCAGTCATCCTGAAGTCCATAGTGTTCGGCCTTGTCTGAGCGCATTGCGAATTCGGATCATTGACAGCGAGTCCTCCGACATCGCAGGTCCTTACACGTCCGCTGAACATGCTTTACAACTGGACTCAGACTTCATGCAGCAAGTTGCCAGACTTTACGCTTCTCGTCATGTGCGAAGGTGAAAACAGCCCGCTCGAAGCAGTAAGTCTCTCCAAGACATGGCGGAGTTTGTCGAAAGATACTCAGCTGACTCTGAATATCCAGGCCAGCAAGAGACTCCTCGAGCTACACACTGAATGACGAAAATGCTGCCGTGCGGTCCGGTCGGATGGTCTCAACCATAATTCACAAGTCATACAAGAGCGCAGCTGGTCTCGTTGAAAGAGATGGATACGAAATCACGGAAGAAGAGTCAAAGGCATTCTTAGATGCCTACACTCCACCGGCATCTCGATGACTGAGGTGGTGCTACAACCCCAGAAGAGGACAAGAACAACACTTTCACCTTATCATGGAACCTTCATCTTGCATCGACTCACGTTCATCTCAAGTAAAATCTGTACTCCTTGAGCCTTCAGGGATGTTGTACGCGTGGTAGATCCTGACATCTTCCCCCCCTCTTTCAGACTTCCTCTATTGTCCGCTAATGGCCGCGCAATCGCTCAATTGGGACGTCACCCAGCAATATCGACTCCTCTTCACGCTCACATTCACCTTCACTTTTGACGTCAGTGCGCAAGCTACCCTTTGATCACTATCGCAGTTTGACAAACGCTGTCACGTCGTCTACGTACCAACACTTCGATATCCGCGTCTCTTTCTCGGCGACATCTCCATTCCCTTCCCTTTGAACGCACACGTATCCGCCGCGCCGAACTCAAAACATGGATTTCCCGCACGCGCAGATGCAAGCGACGCTGGCAGCGACCAACTTCTCGCCAAAATCAGTCCCGTCGCTATACCCTCAGCTTGCCAAGTCACAGAAGAATTTGCATCGCAAAGACAGCTTCGTTCCGAAACCTCCCAAAGTGCAGGAGAACACTAGCGATAATGGCGACGACCAAGGACAGCGCCAGGCTTTCCGCAAGAGTAGCATCAAGAACTTTGGCAGTCTCTTCGCGCGCAACCGCAGCAGTATCGCTAGTACTAGTCCATTGACGCAGGTCATGAGCTCCGAGTCCGAGGGCAGAGACACAAGCGTCGAGACCGAGCGCGCAAGTCCGCAGACCACACTCGTCAGCTCGGACATTCCTTCTCCTAGTAATCTCATGACTGTTGCCGAGAGAGAGAAAATCCGCGAGCGTCGTACGTACCCTCGACCTCCACTCCAACCCCAAACTAACAAGTCCATAGACCGAAAGTTTGTCAAGCTCCAAGGCCTCGGACACGACCACCCTACCGTCTTCACCGCCGACCCAGGTGACTACTCTCAGTATGACTACGACGATAGCGTCGATAATCGGCGGTTCAGAGACGAGTGTGGAGAATGCGAAGGCACACACGTCGCCCACGACCTTGCGAGTCCCACACCGAGCAGCCGCCACCGTCGCAACGAGTCCCTACACGTCAACCTCAGTCGAGAAGAAGTGAAGAAGTACGCCGACGAAGTCCGCAACATGACCATCGCAGACGTCCACCTCTCTCTCTTCGGCTACTGGATCAAAGAGAGCGACGAGCACTTCCAGGAAGCTAAGAAATATCTAAGGGAGTTGGGTCTCGATCGCGTGAGTCCCAAAGACATGTTATTCATCTGGAAACGAGAAGCTAATGTGAATACTGAATAGGGCTACACCCTCTCCCGCCTCAACAACTTCTGCCTCGAAGAACTCTGCCGCGACGTCCACGACATCCGCCCCTCGTACGCTAAGCCCACTTCACAAATCCTCCTCCATAGATGCGCACGCATTGGGAACTTGCGTTGTCCGGGCACTGCTTGGTGTCACGCAATGTTCTAGATGCCTCTGCCATGTCTCTCCTTACCCTCGTCTCACAACCACCTACCTTCTCGCCCATGTCTACTACTACTACTAGCAGCGTTTCATAACCATCCAGAATACCACCCATATTCTAGATACACATGTCATAGCTGCATTCACACATTACACAAACTAACATCTGCTTCTTACGTCTAGTGAATCCCGTACTACGATCCTCAAGCGACAAGCTGCCGCCGACTCCCCCACACATGGGGGCACTACGACGCCTACACGTTCTTTCTCGTCGCCAGTTAGTCCGCGGATCGACAAGTTGCCGCCTTCACTTCACCTTCAGCGAGAAAAAGTGATAGAATCACAAGCGTTGAGGTCGACATCCCTTGGTTCACCTGGTGGACGAGGCGATTACCCACCTAACAGTACGCTACATCCCCGTCAACCCCTCATAAACTTCATGTTGACTAACAACGTCAGCGCCCGACCGCCCTATGCCACTCGCGTTCCGCTCCCCCAGTTCACCCGTAGGTTTCTTGCCGTCGCCCTCGCACTCCTCTGTCTTCTCCTCGCCTGGTCCGCCGCCGGTAGGGGCTTCAGATGAGTTGTCTCTGCGACCGTCCTCGGTGACGTCGTATGATTCGTT